AGATAAATTAACTACAAAGAATACATATATATATATATATATATTGATATAAAAATTTGAAACTTTTTTAAAAGTGTAAGGATGATTCTCCTGAAATTAAAAAAACAGACTGCACATTTTCTGTATATTGTAATTAATACAAGCAGAAGATAATTATAAGCAGGATGAAATATTTATTTAGTTTAAAAAATTCAGTTAATTTCTCATAACCAGAGGTGATACATTTATAATGTAATATTTCGGTTCTTTTGATGTTCACATTGTTATGTATTATTTACTTTTTTTAGGTCAGTTCATGCTCTTAATTCAGTTTGCAGAAATGGGAAATTATTAGTTTTAAATAGATTTAAATGCAAAAAGATGTTTATCTATTTGTATCCTGTTTAATGTCATGGAAAGGTCAGATTTTGTAAGCTTTGACATGATGAAATTTCACACAATTATTATACGTTAATATTTTTGTTGTAGTAGTTGCGTCCATGTTTATATACATAACAACCAACAGTTTAAACATAGAAAGAAATATATATATACCTTTATATTTTTTAATACAGATTATAAAGATTGCTAATTTTGGCATTCATCGTTTCTTAACTTTTTATTAATTATAATACGAAGAGATTTAGTTCGAATTATATATATTTTGTTGTGTAATATAGGGTAAGAAGTTTTTATATTATGTTTAATATTTTGTAGAAATGACTTGGTCTGTTTCAGACTGAACTAGAAGTAGACAATGTAACAGAATGATTTACTGCTTTCTGAAAGAACAATTTAAAGTTTGCCAAAAATATATTTAGAAATTGATTTTTGTGTGAAAAAAGCACAGATTGTTGCAAAAACGAGATACAGACGATTTACAACAATTTTTCTATGAACAGGATTACTTGCAGTAAGTGCAGGGAGAAGGTTATAACCCACGTGATCTACAGCAACATACTGACATTTCAGGCTAATTACAGAATGTGGGGATAACCCATGCAATTTAAAACAAAATGTCTACATTTGAAACTAGCTGGGAGTGAGAACTAGGAAATAATCCATGCAAACTACAAAAATATGCTTAAAATTTTCACTTCAACCTAAACACACCACCTTATAATGACACTCGGACTGAATGGCTAGTCAGAGACCCATCAGGTTCAGGCACAGCCATTCTCCATTTATAACTGTTAATCCAAAGGAAGGCAACCAGTCAGCAGCACTGACCACCTATTTTGGAGCTACTTTTAACTAAATAGTGGGATTGATTGTTACATTATTCCCCCCATCCCAACCCCACAGATGAGTGTGAAGCATATCAAGTGTCATATTTTCACTCTGCATGCAAGCATGTTAACCCCGGGGCACACCAGTTTTTAGGGAGACTTTGTTTGTATCACCAGTATACATGTTTAAAAAAAAATTAATATTTCAGAAGAAAAGTGAGTATTGACTTGAGTTTTTAAATAGATGCACTGTATGTCAAAATAGAACTTCAAATTTTGTGTGCTCTCCAGTGAGTATACTCATGTTCTTTGTGATTTTGCATATATTTCTTATGTGTGTGTAAAACATATACACTCTGGACATTTTAAAGCACGACCAGTATTACAGAGATTCCTTTTTAGTTCCCTGATGTCGGAATATCAAACAAACACAGAAAATTGTTAAAAATATTTGTAAACTGTTTAAAATTAAATGTTTTTACACACTTAAAAAATATATAGTAAGGTTGTAACTAAAAAAATATTCACTATACATTATAATAATGTTAAACAGACCCAATTAAAATTATTTCTTTACAGCAATATTTGAGAGATGAAGCACAAGATAAAAGTTATGTGCTATTTGTCAAATTAATATTCTTAAATTTAGAATATCATTCTAGTATTTAAGACACAATTCAACATATTATTAGCAACATAATAGGCCTAATAATAATGTCTTATGACAGGTATAATTTATTATAATCATGTTTTGACAGTCTGAAAAAGGCATTCACACGATAACAACTGTAGTTATAACAAATGGCTTACATAAATAGTGTTCCAACCACTGCTGTGTTTATTGTATCCCAGCCAGCTTGAGCAAAATGTGTCAGTAATGGATATGATAAATATAGTGCAGTTGGAATACTTATTATTTTACACCTTTTTAATTCTTGAAAATCTCTAAGGGACAAGATAGAGAATGCAGTATTAAAGCATATATTAGGCCTAATAATAATGTCTTATGACAAGATAGAGAATGCAGCATTAAAGAATAAAATAGGCCTAATAATAATGTCTTATGACAACTATAATTAAATTAATAGCAATATTTTTTACTTTATATGCACGTGAGAGCTAATCAGCAAGGTGGGAAAATAAAAATTGGATACCTTTTTTTGTTGGTGCTTTAAAACTTTCAAGCATCATCTTCCTTTTGCTTGACATTGACTGAATGACCTGATGCCTTTCCGATTTGTTTTCATAGGGGGTGGTGGTGAAGGGGCTGTATAAAAAAACAACAACTAAGCCTCCTGGTTTTTCCCTGGCTTTATAATATGTATCTCGGTGATCTCTTGCAGTCATCAAATAAAGCTTTACATTTGACTTAATTAGTTAACATCCAAGACTAGTATAAAATACGTATTTACTTTTGTATTTATATTTTTTGTTTCTATAAAAATTATACCGTTTGTACAAGTTAGATAGAAAAGGTGCATTATCTTAAGCAGTGATAACTTAAACTAACATTTATTTATTTCTACTGCAAGCCTATACATTATAAAAAATTAAACTTAACATAGAGTTTGAGACATTTTGATATTGGTATTTTAGAATTTTTATCAATGATATAACTTTAGGCCCAAGGCAAAGCAAAATGTTGATATAGTATTGTTAACAAGTTTTTCATCATCAAACAAACTTATTAAGCTTGAAATGAAAAATTTCATCTTTTTTACAATAAATATAATTCTTAACTGTTTTATGTAGATAAACACATTTATTACTGCATTTGTTGTTCAATTAAAAACAAAAATCACTTTACTAACAAGGTTATTTAGAAATTAATGTTATCTAGGTAAACTACATGTTTTTGTATGAATGTTTTGTAATAACTTTCAATTATTTGTTGTAAGACATTTCTAAAAGTTTTAAAAAAAACATGATTTTGTATATAATGTCAGTGTTTATTATAATAAAAAAAAAGAGTGACATATGTCACAAGCAATATTGCCTATAATTTTTTCATGTGCACCAGTTTCGAGGCAATGTGCAGATGTGCTACCAGTTTTTTTTATTTTTCTTTGGGGGAGGGGGATATTTTTAGATCACCAACCCAATTGAATCATTAGGCTGCTTTGCAATGCTACCAGTTGGATATTTGGGCTTTAGGCCCAGCGACTGCAAGGGTCATTAAGGCTATCAACGTGTTGAGACTATCTCACCATTACCGAAAATGTGCACGGCTGGAATAATCAAGTGTGCGGTATTTGATTGGTTGTTGTGCAGCTGCACAGCCTAGAGGGAACACTGGTCACAAGTGCTAATTCTACCATAAAGTGTATTATTACTTGCTGAAAAATTCCAAAATACTAAAACAAATTCTGAAGATTTCTTTTAAAAATTTCAACCAAACTTGTAAAGGATGTTTCCTTCTTTTAAGTTATGTATACAAGTTACTATCACTAGTATAACATGTACATTCAGTGATCCATAATACATTCAGTCCATTTATGTGCACTAATTATTGTCTTGTATTTTACACGTATAGCGACAACAAACTAGTATATCTATTAAATGACAATTCTTTTAACACACGAAATAATGATAAGCAAATAATTAATTCTTACTTCATTCGTTTATTCTATAATCTTTACTTCATAAAGCTTCTAATTACTGACTCATGATTCAGTCGAACCATTTATTCACTAACCAGTATGTTATCTAATGTTACTACACTGTATAATCACTAAGTTGCGATTCGTTCAAACCTTGTACAATCTCTAGCCTCTAAGTTGGTTAATGTTAATGGGAGTGTGGATTCAAACATTATATTAATAATATGAGTACACAGTAGAGAAAGGAAAGACTGGTCGGATACAAAATTCAAATCCAATTTCTTTTATTCTGCTTATTCTACAATGATATCAAGGCAGTAGTTGACCACAAAATGAGTTAGTGGCCTATATTAAAGCCTCAATCATGTAAAGTTTATACGACATGAAAATAATGCTTTTCTTGCATTATGTAACTGAGATCAGGTTTTTTTTTTTTAACAAGTGCCGGCAAGATCATATAACATACTATACATTTAACAAGCTTATCACAGTACAGTTTCAGTTACTCTGTCTCGTTGAATATTAATGTCTTAGAACAAAGAAATTAATTGAAACAGCAATTCAGTATAATTCACCACAGATAAAAATAAGTTTTCAAATTCAGGTAATCCTGCAAGTTTTACCTAAAATACATGTACTAACATTTGTTGAATTTCAATATTTAGTAAAAGCTGTTTCAATGATGCTACGTTTGAAAAACAACAACAAAAAAGATATCTTAACATGTTTCATTACGCCATCTAGTGTTTGAACATAACTTTAAAACTGATTACATCCATCAACTTATCAAATACGGTAAACAATTTCAGCAAACATCTCAAATGCTTCTTGTCACCTTCTACAACTGATGTGGACAAAGAAATGTTTTTGACAGTGCAAAATGTGTACACTAAGCCACAGAAAGTAGACATAAGTCAAACAACTGCTAGAAATATACAAGACTATAATGAACTTTTCATTTTGGAAATTATCCATCCAAATTTGATATCATTAACCAAGGTTTCTTTATGGCTACAGAACAAGAAAAATTAACAGAATAAACTATTCATTCAAGATCACATTACCTATAAAATTACAAATTTGTTGGAATATAAATGGGGAGACTTAAAATTGAAGGTTACAAAGATCATGCCTAAGAAATGGTAAGCCAAACGTGCATGTTCTAATCTAAAGAAAAAGTGATTATACGCACATTACTACAAACAGAATATTTTAGCACAGCAAACCACCTGTACATTTCTCTTTCAATAAGCACACTAGAACCACAATCCTACAGATTAGAAAGGATATAAACAAAAGTGTCGTGCAACATAATGTAAGGAGATAAAAATTAACAGCTATAAAAGGATTTCCAAAGAAAAGAAACACTAAATTTTATTGATTTCTCAAAACAGATTGTTTTTATTTGTAAAATCATATTTTAAATAAATAATAAAAATGTTCTGTGTACCTTTAAAAAAACATTAAATATAAATTTTCTTTTTTCACACTGCTGTGCATATAGTTGAAACGATTTAAATCATTTTATGCTTCTATCTTTCATAAAAAAAATGTCAGAGGTTATTATGTAAGGGCTTATTTCTTTGATGGGATAAGATATTCTTAACCATTCAACATGTGAAAAAAAATCTATGCTGACAAAACGATATACATTGTGCTCACTAGCTTAAAGATCAGTGTCAAAATGACACTTAAAATGGGTAAAACATTCACAGTATATAACCATCTTATTATTTCTTTTTCCAAAATTGTGTTGAAGAAAATAGTTATATTTTTAAATTACACAAAAATTTCTGTCATACTACACAGTAATCACAGAACTTTCATTCTTAAAAAAGCATAGCCTTATCTCAATGTGAACATATTATATTTGGTGTACAAAGTACAACATTAGCTAAAGCTATAATCTACTGATGGATGGAATCATAAAGCCGCATGGACAAAGGTTTTATGTTTCTTAAGAAAAGCCTAGCACCATGAATAACATGGTATATACAAAAAAAAAAAAGGCTCTAATACTAGAAAGGTAATAATTTATACCTACCATTCTCCAAACAAAAAATTATTATTAATTAACTGATAACAACACTATCTAACATGAAATTAATATATAATAGTATGTGTGTGTGTGTGTAAAATATCCATGAAAAAACAAACAAACAGGAAATAGTCTCAAGATCAAGTTATTAGAGTTATAGTGTAAAACGTTTCACATAAATTAAATCACCAAAGTAATTAGTTTTATTTTTTTTACAAATCAAAATAGCACATGAAAAACTTTGTACTGAGAAAAATAAAATTTTTAGAATGGTCCCATAAAAGAAGCAATAAATAATGAATTCTGGTCTGTCCGAATGCTGAAGAATTAGACCACCATTGTACGTAAATCATCTTGATGATAGGTGACATTTTCGAAAAGGATGTACACATATTACATAAATTCCTTCTCAAAATATCAACATTTAAGTACAACACTGCAATAAGTTACGACATACACCAAACCGGGATGAAAAAGTACTACAAGCACTACAATGATACTAAGTACCACTACTTTTGATATCAATAACTGTAATAATCTACCAACAGTAGAAGGTTATAAAGACTAGTTACTGTTCAACCAATTTCTTGAACATTAGAAGTTATCACAAAAAATAAAATACACACGTGATGTTTTGAAAATAACAGAGATGCTACTATAACTGAAGGCTAGTATTTATGCACTGCCTCGATACTAATTGGCTAGAAAAAGAAAACATTCTTTAATCACTGCTCCGGTTAAATTTAAAATGCTTTGATGGATGATTCATAAAATAAAATGCCGAACAAACTATTCATTATTTATGCTCTTATTCAAAGAGAACTTAAACGGGCTATTTGTAGAATGGGATTACAAATATTAAAATATGTGGTATGTCGAGTGAAAGCTTTATCAGTAAACATTGAAGTAACAGTAATTTTCTTGTGCAACTTCACTGGAATGTGTATCATTTTTTAAAAAAACAATGTTAGTTTATCAACATCTATAGTTCAAGTATACATTTTTCTCCAGATATATGGAATGTTCTATTTTAGTCAGAAATTCAAGTCACAGAACAATATATAAAATTAGCGAGAAACCGGTTTGTCCAACCAAGGTAGCAACTTGACTGGATCTGTAATGGTTATGTACTTTACATAAAACAACAATGTCAGAATGTTGCTGCCCAGATAGAAATACTTACTTCTTTACTATAAGAAAATTCTTCATTTGACAGCAGTCAGAATAACGTCGACACACAACAGCAAGAATATCAAACACACAATACATTCGGAATACAAAAGCCACAAATTTTAAAAACAGTTGGCTTCCATTAAAAACAAAAAATAAATGTGTACACTGATTTTATAGATGTTGTTCAAATAAATTGAGAGGCCAGCCCCCAAATATACACCACCAAGTGTAAGCAACAGTACAAGTTTAAAATAACGACATGCAATCTTAATCAGTCAAAACTATCAACAAAAAATTTGTATGTAAGCATGGACCTGACAAAACTATACATTTCCTTCCCCTGACAGCAAATAGAAATTTTATCTTTTCTTGGAATGTCTCTTCTTTTTCTTTTTCCCTGGTGTACACACTACTGCAGAAGAAGGTTCATCTGCTGGATAATATTGGACTGAAGAGGCCAAATTATTTTCAGAATTAAGGGTCTCTTCCTCATCAGAAATCCCTGCTTAACCAAATAAAAATACTATACATTAGTTGTTAAAGATGAAACACTTATAGCCTCTGTTATGTTTTTAATCCTTAAGCATTCATTATGAATATGCTAATGACTTCTTGTCATCATTTCCATAAATATGAGACTTTTTCTCTGAGAAGTCAAATAAATTTTAGTATTTCTAGTATTTGTCTTATTCTCAACCGTATTACAGCAAAGTACAATAATAGGGAAAATGAAATATCAGATTAAAACTAGAATAACAACTATAAGTACAGAAGAAATTTTAATTTATTCAACAAAAGGTAAAAGAAAAAACCATGGTAATATAATTTTGAGTTCCGATCTATGTATATATAACTTACTTTGATCAGAATTATCCATCAACTATAATTAACAAAAGGGTATAATAGTGATCTTACTGGAGTTTACTACATTATCGAGAGTGGTTCATGATGCCAGAAAAACACATAGGTTATACGGTTTTTATCCAGAGGAGTGACAGTATAAAGCCCTCTGGTTTCTTTGTGTCGTATTCTGAATATAACAGGATAAGAGGAAACAACTTTTTAAACATAATAAAAAAAAAAAAAGAAGGATAGGCTCCAGATAAGTTTTATTTTTCTAACAGGGTGATTGGCTTATGAAATTAGTTGGTGATGGCAGCAGTTTGTGTGTGTGTGGTGGGGGCCCCAACAGAGAAGGGAAATAATAATATCCTGAAAAAAATGGAGGATAGTTTTAAATTTCTATTTTTCTCTAGAGTGAGTATGCAAGGACAGCCTTGAAGGAACAAATAGTCCCTTGCTGTGTTTTTTATTGATTCACAGTGCTGTCTTAATCAAATTCAATGATATACCACTGAAATACTAATTCTGGTAACGAAAAGGGTTACTTATCTTGCCGATCCTCGTTTCAGTACTTGACAGAATAATCTACAGCGACTGTTGAAGCTATGTTAAAACTCAAGTATTCAGCAGTATTGTTTGTTATATGTGACTTGCTTTCTCATATCTAAAACATATTTTGTTACAACTTTAAGGTATTACCGTATTGATCTGTATGGTGCATCACCTTTCAGTGGTAATATTACCTATATTATTGATTTAAATGGAAGCATTTATCACTAGCCTATCAGCTAACTGTAAAAAAAAAGGAAATTTTATTCACGTGGGTAGTTATTCTTGGACTTAGCAGAGTGGTTCTGTTAAAGTTTTTATTGTATAATTTTTAAAAAAAAATGAGATGTGCAAAAAATTTAATTTCCACTCTTCACAAATTAATTAGAAACGTACCAAACCTCCGCCGATGATTTCCACTCTTCACAAATTAATTAGAAAACGTACCAAACCTCCGCCGATGATTTCCTCTCTTCACAAATTAATTAGAAAAGTACCAAACCTCCGCCAATGATTTCCACTCTTCACAAATTAATTAGAAAACGTACCAAACCTCCACCGAAATGAGCTTTTCTCTACTTAATCGCTTGTCATAGAGATATATTTTATGGTGAATTAAAACACAGCATCACCATATTTCATTGTAAGTGTATAAAGGTACAACTGTCTAAACCCGGGAGAGGTGAGGATTACTCCTCTGTTACCTTCTAACTCAGTAAAATACAGTTTGTTGTCAAATATTGATTTCCCATGCCTGGATGGTTTAAAAAAATATATGGATGTAATGTTTTAGAGAATGATGTAAATGAATAATAGTAAAACTGATTAGGACCCATGAAAAAAACTACATGGTCTTCACTCTTTAGCTATACTGAGTACAAAAAACTTAAACATTACCTATACATTCCACCCATTCAGCTTTTTGTATTTCCTTATAAAACTCAAAACCAAAAATTACTGTTTACAAGCTTTTCATTCATTTAGAGGCACATCACAAAAGCCAACGAAAGAAGAGAATGGTCTTGTATAAGCAGGCCTAGAAAATTCTACTCTTCGATTCACATGTTTCAGTGAATAATGAATAAGGGTTAGTTGACCTTTTCAACGGATTCGTCTGATAGTAAGTATAAGTCCATTAGTTAAAGTTAAGTCATTCATAGAATAATTGCAGGACTAAAAATAAATGGACAGACTTCAATAAATACCTTCTCTTCTTCGTCTGATAGTAAGTATAAGTCCATTAGTTAAAGTTAAGTCGTTCATAGAATAATTGCAGGACTAAAAATAAATGGACAGACTTCAATAAATACCTTCTCTTCTTTAACTGTCACTATTATCACAATGTCAGTACGTGTGTTTCAGTGTCATGATCCTCATGTTGTTATCATGCATAATAAGTAATTAGGGCCATAATCCTGTTGTTAGGTCCGTGATAATAAACAATCATAAGTTTATGTACAAAATAACTAACAATTTGTAAAACTAATGCTTAGCTTATCCATAATTACAAATCATCTGTACAGAAGTACTTTTCTTAGAAACTAATCCCAGCTTCATTTGACAATCAAGGATTTAAACATGCTCTCCTCTCACATTTACTCTGGCTTATTCAGACCTCTTATGGATTCTGCATTTATATAAATTTACTTGGAATGAAAGGTCAAGACGTCGACTGATTATTGAGTTGCTGCACATCACGCATATCACATTTACAAATACACCATGCAGAGAGACAAAGATCATCAGATCAAAGGGTCAGAAACTTATTGAGTAATTGATGGGACGACCCCTCTAGCAAATAATTCTTGTTTGGGATAAGTTAAAAATGTTTGGAAAACTGCTTCTGGGAATAAGGTCAGCATCTAAAAGTTTTACCACGTATATTATGAACTTGTAAACAAGTAAAATTTGTGCTGAATGAGTACAACCTTTACGTCACCCACACAAGACAAGCAGTCATTCCAAAAACTTCCGAGCCATTATGAGTATTTTTTGTACTTGTGTTTTATATGATTCTTTTTAGGATCAGCAGATGACTCGGAAACTTATAAAGAAATGAGAACAACAAGCTGAAATTTATATATTTCTTCAAACATACAATGTATACAACTTGTTTACTCAATTTTCTAAAGTCACTTGCAGTAGCTCAACTCATTAAAGACTATATCTCAATTTGCTAAGACTCTTTTAAATTTTCAATCACTCTTTGTATACTCTTCACATAGAATCATTAGAAAAAATAGGTGTACAAAATTATACATAAAAGTAACTTTGTTTTTACTCGTTTAATCAAAACTAAAATTATCATACCATTCTCATCATGGCCATTCTGTCCAGTCTTTAGTTCTAAAGCTATCACTTTCTCAGTTGTGGTCTCAATCTGCGAGATGAAAATGTTTAGAGATTTAGAAGTGTTAAAAAGTCATTTCAAATGTAACTATTTACTGAGCAAGAGATAATAACCTTCTACCATTACTGCAGCATCGACACGATCGTCATTTTACGTCCTTTCCAATTAAATATTAGGCTCTCTGTATCATGAGTTATAATTAAATATCCCCAGAATTCTTCAAATTATCAATTAACTGAGAAAAATTTCATTCATAAAAGTACACCAATTTTTCACCTTTCATATCTTCTTTTGTCACATCAGATAGAAGAAAAACTTCTCGGTGCATACATACTTGTTCAAGTTTTATTTGCCAAATGAGTATACTTTTTTAGAAATAAGGAATATTTATCACAAACTCTGTAGTCATAGTAATTTTGCTGGCAAGTGCCAATGCGAACCAACATTGAAAAACAACACGGATTTATCGCCGCACAGTGGCTGGAAATGATGTCTCAAAAAGAAACAACTTGTTTTGTCACTTTACTGCATGAAACATCTAATTTGAAAGGTTTGTAAATGTTTTATTTCTCGTTGTGTAGACTGACAGTGTTACTGAGTTAAGGAGATTTTGGGGCTGAAATATTTGGGGCAGCATATTTTAGTAATTTACTCTTCTGATGTAGCTGATTTGTAAATATATATACATTACACACACACACAAAACTATATTAATATTTGTTATGGAATAAAGGAGACATCTATATACATAAATTAAAGAGCTTCACACAAGCCACGTTCAAACTCACAAAAGCATCATTACGAGTAACTTCATCAATCCTAGTAACAAAATTTCAAATGTTAATATGTTTTTATAGATACTACACATTCCTGTACATTATACCTTTATACTGATGTATTCTTTCTTTTAATGTAGAATTTTCACACCATTTATTTGGTTACCCCAAAAAAATTAAAGAATATCTGACAAACTTCAAATTATTGATGAGAATCTGTTTGCCTACTAGCTTTCTCATAGCCTAGGGCAACAAGTGGTCCCTTATCCACAGTTTTAACACTCCTATTACCCAATCTTCATATAAAGGTCCTCAGAAAAGACTGTATGGTTAGTTTACTCAGTTCATGTGAGTGAGTCAAACTTAGTTTTACTTAACCCACCACAGTTTTCAACAGGATACGGCTCACAGAAACTTCATCAACTTAGTTTTACTTAACCCACCATTGTTTTCAACACGATACGGCTCACAGAAACTTCATCAACTTAGTTTTACTTAACCCACCATTGTTTTCAACATGATACGGCTTATAGAAACTTCATCAACTTAGTTTTACTTAACCCACCATTGTTTTCAACACGATATGGCTCACAGAAACTTCATCTTTTAAACTTTGCAATGTAACAGTTTTAGACATATTTAACTGAAATAAGTAAACAGAAATAAGAAAATGCAGCCAAATATTTTTCAAAGTTTTTGAAAAACTGACTAAAGAATACTGGCTGGAGAAAAGATGATTCTAAATATACATGTTTACTTGATTAATAAATAAGTGAAAACACTAAGTTACGCATATGTTACATACAATTAGTTTGATTAGTACAATATATTAAATCTAAAGTAAAAATTCAAATGACTGAGATACGGAATTCAAAATGAGCAGTATCACATAAGATGATTCAAATACTACTAAAGCATATATATATAGACATGAAAAATACTGGATAAAATAAAAAGTTTGTGAACTTTGTGCTATAGTTCAAAACAAGACATAAATGATGAATAAAATCCCTCTACAGAAAGCAATAAATAAATAAAGTCTTCTAAACTGATGAGAAAAAGAAACAAGTGTTAATTAACAGCAAATATACAAGTAAGAAAATACCGAAAAATCTGGACAGAACTTAAAGTTCAATAAGAGATGTAACATAAGATAAAGATTCCATTTTTATTAAAACGAATGCAATAAATGACAGATGGTGCAACAGAATAAAGGAAAATGAAGTGGGAAGGTGCAAGAATCATGCACATTGAACCTGATGGTGTTTAATAAACCCCACAATTATCTTACAATAATGTTACCTCTTTCTCAATTACTTTTTCTATATACTGAAAAGTCCCAAGCTTTAATTCGCCAGTAATTTCATCAACGTATTGCTCTGTCTTGTGCGTGATATTTTCATCAATCACATGTTCTCGCTCCACAACATGCGTTTCTCCATCATGCGCAGTGAGAACCAATCGAGGGAAGTCTACCAAGGTTGGCTTGAGAAGGAGAGGAAGTTGGTTCAGTTTGAAAAGGGGTTTAGTTTAAAAGCAAATGTAACAAAAAAAAACATCTATTCAGTACTTTGAAACAAGTGACAAACCTGTTAAAAGAAGCAAGTGGCAGAATGTTCACAGGAACTTTATAATATGCAGGTAACACAGATGTTGAAGTTAATGAAAGTCAACCTTTACACACATTCTTATTAGTTTAGTTTCATTTCACTTTTACAGTTATGATTCATCTTCCCATTCTACAGTGTTCCATAACAGGATGTTAGGTTTCTTTTAATATAAATGCATGTTGTTAAATCTGGAGGAAAAATATACACAAATGAAAGCCAACAGAGACAGAAAAAAAAAAAAGATATCAAAGCTGGATAAATTAGAAAGATACTTCTGGATCATGATTTAATGACCATAGATGCCATAAAAGCTAAGGTTTTCGTAATGATCCGGTTCTTATTCTCAATTACGGGGTTGGATCAGTCCTTATTCTGAATGACAGGGGCAACTCAACCATGGATGGACCAATCCTTACCCTAAAAGATAGAGATGAATGGTTGAAAATGATATGTAGTTCAGAGGTATATGAACAATAATTTATTGCATGTTAAACTCAAAATCTGAATGAATATTCTGGTGATCTAGGGTTTGCCAGCAGCCCTCTACTGGTAAACATTTACAATAGTCTTTTTGTATAATGTAAATAAACAGGCATTAGGAAGCTATTTTTCATGAAAACAGCAGTTTGTCAGGAGTTTTGTTTTGAATATACTAAACCTGTTTTATAAACAGAAGTTTAAACATATTTTGGAGAAGATTAACATTTTCATGGTAGAGCCGAGATTCATCTTTTCACACAACATATTCTAAGAATTAGATCAAAAACATACTTAGAATGTTTAAAAATAGATTTGGACTTTATCTAATATATTTATTACTTATTTATAAAAGTAATATGTTCCTTTAAATAATCTTTTACAGTGCAGGTTGGAAGGTTTTATCCTGTCAGGTTAGCCATACATATTAACTAGAAACAAACATATATATGAACAAAAAAAATAATATAATGATTCCTATTAACAAGTCTTAATAAAACAATTCTTATTTTTCTGTCTGAAAAATTAAACCTAAAATTATATGCAGACCAGGACTAAGTAAACATCAGAGCTTTGTGAAACCAGAGGATTCAACATGCATGTTTGTTCAAACCCTATTAACTTGTTTATTTTTAACTGACTGTTGACTTAGTTTTTTGTACCTTTTGTCCACACTAACTGAACATGGAACAAAACCATCTAAGGTTTTATTCTATCAACATTTGATCAATATTCAATGGCTGTGCACAAAACCTAAAAAAAAAAGTTGTTTATTTTTGAGTCACCCTGTAAATTTCTTCACACGATTCAGACGTACGTAAGCACACGCTCATGCAAACCAGTAAAAGGGTTTGTAAATACGCTAAGTACATTTGGATCCATATAAACTGTAAGGTTACAATTCAAACAAATGAATAAAAGAACATTTTACACGTGAAACAATATACATCAAATTGTTGTATAAAGATTCATGTGTAGCTATTACCTTTTCATTTCCATTACTTTGATACAATGCTTCATGAATCTCACTGGTGGCTGGGTTAGATATTTGGGAGAAATCTATCGGAATTAATAAAAAAAAACTCTATATAAAACTTTTATATTTAGATTCCAGCTTGTTCTTACCTCTATATAAAACCTTTATATTTAGTTTTCAGCTTGTTCTTACCTCTATATAAAACCTTTATATTTAGTTTTCAGCTTG